CCCCAGGCAGCGTCTTCACATCCTTTACACTGTTTCTGAATCGATGTTTCACAAGGATGTAGTCCAGTTGATGCCGCTTCCAATCCCCAGGTGCCTTCCATGTGTAAATTCTTCTCTTTGGCTTCTTGAACCAAGTGTTGGTGACAATCAGTCCATTTCGTTAACAAAGTCAATAAGCATTTGACCCCTGTGATTCCATCTTCCTAGTCCATGTGATCCAACAATGTTCTGATATGGTTCATCTCCAACAATGCTATTCCAGTCTCCCAATATGATGCTGTTTGTGTCACCTCTTCCATCTTTCTGAAGAATTTCTTCAGTTGTGTCATACACTTTTTCCACTTCATCATCTTCATACTCTGATGTTGGCATGTACACTTGCATAATCAGTATATCTACCAGTTCCGCCTTTAACTTCAGAGCAATAATTCTGTCATTACAAACAATCTTCTTAACAACACTCCTCAATACACGTCTATGCACCACTATTGCCACACCTCTTTCAGCCAGTTCACCTCCGGAATAATATACTGTATAATCACCTCTTCTTATTTCACCTTGTCCTTTCCACCGCACTTCGCTGACACCTAGAACAGACACCTCATTCTTCTGCATTTCCGTTTTCAAATTCTCCAGTTTGCCTGCTTGATTCAAGGTCCTTACATTCCGTGTTCCAATCTTGTAGCTGTGATGTTCCTTCTGATCTTCGCACTTTTTCTTGTCGTAATGCCTGCATGACATTTCCTCTAGAAACACTCCCCCCCCTGGAGATCCGACTGGGGGAGTAGTGTACCTCCGGATATAGGTAATAATTATTTAGAAAGTAAAATCTATTGCCAAATCTACAATGTTGTTTATTAATTGTACTTTTCCTTTGCATCTCTGTGATCTTGAAACAGAATGGTGATCATCATCTTCGCTACAACATTTATCATCTATGTTTTGCAAATTTTCTCCTTGGCCGACATCCACATGGACCAGGAGAATTCCTCTTTGGACCTTTTGAGGGAAGTATACATTATTCAGCAATGTTCCCAATAGACTACAGTGCACTCAACACTCCACCAGAGACATTAGAACCTTACAGCCCAAATAAGACAACCAACAGACGCTCGGTTGTGGTTTGATATCATAGTTACAACATTAAGATTGTAAAGTGACCATGGTAAGTTATGTTTTACACCTAGAACTTGCAGTGCTTGTGGAATATTTTAAAACTCTCCTCAGGGCATTTCTGTAACACTACAAATGAAACTATGAATATTACCGTTGAATTAAAATGATTAAACTATACACAAATGAACTTTGATGAATGTAAATATTCTGATTGAAATTATTTCAATCCTTTATAATGCTTATGTCTTTTATGTGAATGATATTGTTCCAAAGTGTTTTGCAATGTGTCATCAGTACTCTGGCATCAGTGACCATGTTGACTTGCAACTGTTATTGGATAAAGAGGATATTTATTTTATGGTAATACCTAAGTATTTGTGTCACTTATGTATAATATCAGCTTTGTGATGAGGCCTCATGTATGGAAGTAGGCAGGGCTAACAGTGTTACAAATTATACTATGGCAGTGGTGCCCAAACCTATTCAGTGATATCTTATTCACTCCTTTCTTTTTCCTAGGAACAAATGAACTATACTCTAATGTTACAGAGGATGATGGATTTGTTTATGTTTCTTGGCAAAAAAATAAACCTTTAAATTATTGAAAGTCACATTTAATTTCACATGTGATATCTGTGCTATTCATTTTCTCTATTTTTCTATTTTACAAAGAGATACCACTATGTTTTCCAGCAATATACTACCAGGTAGAAAGGCCTGGTTTGATTATACAAGGATGTTTATTTCAAAGGCTGAAAGTTCATGTCTAACATACACGTACAAAATGAAAACATGTTTCTTTTCTCTTCAAAAAATCTCATTACTTTAATGACACACGAATTTGATCTCACGTGCAGCAATTGCAGATTTTGTTGACCTAACAATCTTAAAGAAATGTTTATAATGTTTTATATGTGCCTTCATGTTCTGTGTCCTCATTCTTTATCATAACCATTTCTCTCAAAACATACAAAATTCCCCATATTTCCCACTTTTCTCCATACAATATAACGGTATTCAGACAATATTCAATGACACTACTTAACTAAACCAGTTTAGGCACAAAGTGAAACACAAAATACACACCACATGTGACTATACAACAGAGCTGATATTGTTGGAAAAATTATTCCTCTCACAGAGCCCACCCACTGTAAAGTGGAAATACTGATAGGAACAGAAATGTTTACAGAAGAATACTAGATACAGTATATACTGTTTTGGGGGCCTTGTGCAAGATTTACTTTAGGCCCCCTTTCTCCATCAATTAATCCAAATTTCACTTAACTGTATTTTCTTCCTTCCTTCTCTTTGTCACTGAAGCATAATGTGTCTTTGACAAAATCATTGCTTTATAAAATGATCCCCTGAATTAATAGCAATTAATTTGTGAATTTACACAGATTTTGTACCAAGAGCATACATACTGAAATGTCTAAAGCAGTTATGATCCAGAATAAATTATAAATTATAATCATCTTAATGCAATGTAAGCATACTTTTATTTGCTTCACTGATGTCTGGTAAAACATGTTTTAGGATCTAAAAGCTTACAAATGAATTTGTGAGACACGAAGTACTCATATGTTACGGAGAGTGCAGAGCCAGTCTTGCAAAGAAATCTGAAGCATTTTGCAGCAATTAGCATGATTTAGAATGTTTCAGATTCTTTCGCAGTGAGGAGTGATGTGGCTACAGTTTACGTAGCATACAATGAGATGGCCCTGATTACTGTAAAAACTCACAACATAATGGTTAGCATTCCTACTTAATATTTTGAAGCCCTTGAGTTTGCTTCTCAGCCTGGAGGTTGATCATCATGCCTGAGGACTTTTGTGGTATTCCTCAGTCTCTTCAAGCAAATGCTTGGATGATACCTTAAAATTCTTTTAGAGTATGTCTATTTTTTTTTCATCTTTTCCCATGCAGCATTCATGATCATCTTCCCATTCTACACTATATAACCTATGAAGTTGCAATAATGTTGTTATATATAGAAACAGAAAAGTTATGAAGGGTTTTGTCTTCTGACATATAATGCCAGGCAGTCCACTAAAGTCAATCAGTCAGCTTTATGCTGTTTTCTTGCATGGCTTTTTTGTTTTTTAATTCGCTTAGTGGGGGTGGAGTCCAACTGGGTCCACTTGGCATGGCGGCCACTGATTGGCCTATTGTAGCCTGCACCAGGTGATTATGACGGTGAATTTGGTGGAATTAAGACTGCCAGGGGAAACCGAAGTACTCGGAGAAAACCCTCCCCAGCGCCACTTTGTCCACCACAAATCCCACTTGACCAGACCTTCGAACCTTCTTGCCTGGCTTACTCTTCAAGCCTGAAGAAGAAGGTGAGAACCTCAAATTTTATAGCAAAGTTATAGTTTACACCAAGCAGCCTTGGTCAGCAGCAGCATGACTGGCATGAGTCTGGGAAATACTCTCTTTGAATTTCAGCCAGGGAACCTATTATGCTGGTTGAGATATCAATATTTTTCAATGCTAGCAACAGGATAGTGCAATCAGATAGTCCCTAACCACTCCCTTTCAAATCCTTCACTACTCACCAATCATATTCATTGGTACATAATTTCTGAGATTGATGCACGGCCACTAAATTACATATGATCAATGGTCATAGGCTGCACCTATCTGTGGCGAAGTCTGTTATCAGGTCATGATATCGAAGTACTCAAAGACATTAATAATACTGTATCTTAACGCAAACCATTGGAGTATCTTTCACCTTCCTTGGCTTCATGAAGATACAGAGCTTTGTGGTCTTATTCTAGAGAGTTTAGCCTTATATTACTATGGATGACTTTTCTTTGGGCATCACTGCGTAAGGTAATCAGACTCTAATAAGATATGCTATTTTAATACAGCACTATTCTACTCGAAAAGTCTGACAATCATATGAACAAGTATAAAAAGTAAAAAGTAAAACTACCCCTGTAACAGGCCATGAAGGCCCATAGGGTTGTGAGATGTTGAGGGTCCCACATTATCTAGACAATCGGCTCAAAGTTGGCAGTAAGGTTGACAGCCTTATGTGCCGGCTGCGCTTTACTCTCCAGGAAAATTGTTTAATTAATTCCTGGTACTCATTTCTGTTAGAGGCTGAGTCAACCCCAGGACCATAGCAAGGCCAGAAGGATTGGATCAATTGAAAAAAATCCAATGGCCTCATCAGGACTTGAACCCACAACCTTCCAGCTTGTAGCATAGTGCCTCAACAAACTACGCTACTGCGTCGTCCCCATATGAACAAGTGTGATGAGGTTTACTGACAGTGATACGTAACTATTGTGATACTGTTACCTGGACAGTTTTTATAGATCTGCACTAAGCAAGATCAAATCTATATAATGAGCTTCATATGTGTCATAGCCTTATGGTACTAGCAGATCACTGAACACTTCACAATTGCTAGAATGGACCAATGTTCTTCTGCCATTCTTTAATCCTGTAAGTGTTATGTTGAGCACATTTGGTTGTGTTAGGGATACTGCTGCCACTCAAGGGTACTATTTACCATTTGAGTAAAGTGAAATCTCTTGTCAAATGTGGGGAGTTATTATCTGAGGAAGTAATATGTTTTGTGAAGTGCATTCAGTAAACGTTATTAAGTTGAGAAAAATGTAGAGGTAGACAAACACATTCAGCACTGACAGTAAATTATGTACCAAAAGTATCATGCATTTCTATACGTTTACAGTACTTGAAGTGGAGTGGAATGAAATGGAATTATGTCATGTCTTTACATGCATTTTTGCACCAAAACACAAAAGAACTGAATGACAGAAAATTCATGATGTGTGGATATCAGTGAAGTTTGGAATGGCAAATCCATATTAAATTTTGTTAGACAGGTTCTAATTTACTGATATAACTTGTATTGGTCCTGCATTGCACACACATATATATATACATACACTCAACTCTCGATTATCCGGGGGCGGATAAACCAGTTTGCTGCTTAATGGGGGCTTTTTTGAGGCCTATATGTTGTTTAATATTCATTGACTTTTGTTTCACACAGTGAGTTTTAACACTATTTTCGCACTAGTGTGAACCAAGCTCTGCATTTTTTGGTCCCGTTATGCTAACATAATGTTCTAGGGTAGGGGTGAAAGAATGCAAGGAATTGTGGAAAGTTTCAAGGTCAAGTACACCACCCCAGTTAGTCTCTTTGTATTGATCTTCAAGTGCGTTAGCAAAATGTCAGGGTGTAAAAGGAAGCGTGTTGTGTTAAGTATTCAACAGAAATTCGTGTGAATCGGGCTTCAAAATGTTAAGCAGTGACGAAATCGTAAGTTCCGTGGGGGTGCAGCCAGAAGAGCGGGAAGAAAGTGAGAATGAGGAGGAGGTGGACGGTGCTGCTAGTAAGAAAATATCACATGGTGCTGCTCTTAATCATTTGGAATCCTTACTAGACTATCTTAAGAGTGAAGAGATCAGTTTATTAAGTGACAAGCTAATATTATGTAGGCTCCATACGGATATCTGTAAAAAGGAAAATGCCGCGAAAAAGCAAACAACATTAATTTTTTTTAAGTGTTAAGTGTGAATATTCATAAAAGGTGTTGGATGTTGTTGAACACTGTGATTGAAATAACTAATTCATACTCCAGTGTGATGTAAAAAGAAGTACTAAATAGGCCATGAGATGACATAAAAATGAGGTTGAATAAATTTAAATACAGGTAGGCCTATAGTATTATAAAGGTACAGTATTACAGTACTACAGTACTACTTTTAATAAAATTTGTCTTAACCGGGTTTTCGAGTAATCGAAATTTCCATCCCCACCATTATCCCTGATAATCAAGAGTTGAGTGTGTGTATATATATATAGTGTGACATGTTGCGTAATGGAGAGAGAGAGAGAGAGAGCAAGCTTGAATGTGCATGTGTTTTCAGCATGGAATTTTTAATACTAATACCACTCCCTCCCTTCTAAAATCCAGTTGCAATTGCCACAGTAATGGGGGATTAAAAAATTGTTCTTGGGAGATAAATCTTAATAGACCCCTTCTATGACATCAAATTAAGTTCTATTCAGTATACACAAATATGTCATACAAAAATATAGATGAAGATGCCGTCTTCTGGGATGTGGCACCATGTAGATCTTGTGTGAACATTCGTTTTAGAGGAATGTATCGCCTCCAACTTCAGGGTACAAAAATC